AGTAGCTGAAGTAATTAATTCTCAAAATAAAGAAAAAGTTGAAATAGTTTGGTGTAATGACTGGAAAGGTGATGGAAATGTACATCTAACAGATAGTCAAAATAAAGTATTAGGAGAAAGAAGCACTGATGTGAGCCGCTACTTTGCTAGAACTACATACATAGATCTTTATGGTAAATACATACATATATATGTTTCTTTCTTTTAATAATATATTTGCAAAGTTATCACTTTATCATTTGTTTTTGTTGTGTATTTAATTTAGGTGGTGTCAGTCCTCGTGAAAAGACTGAAGTTGACCATTGGTTGTCCTTCACAATTGGTCCTTTGGGATCTTTCCCACTAAAAGAAGATGCATTGCGTTATTTAGATGATATATTAATGACAACCACTTGGTTGGTGTCTAAGAAATTAACATTAGCTGATATTCATGTATTTTCTACTCTTTTGGAGAAGGAATTTTTAGCAAAATTTGAAAAACAATTTGTTAATATAAGTAGATGGTATAAACAGATGCTTTCACTGCCCACTGTTACAGAGGTACTGCTTTCAATTAAAAAGAATGCTAAATTACTTCTTCATACTTATGTGCAACCTGAGAAAGCTGCTAATAAGCAAGCAGGACAAAGAAAGCAAGAAGGTAAATTTATTGATTTACCTGGAGCAGAAATGGGTAAAGTAAGTAATTTATGGTTTTAATAATACCTTTATTTTTTAAAGTATATTATTATAGTTTTATTTATTGTTATAATAGGTTATAGTACGTTTTCCACCAGAGGCAAGTGGGTATCTACATATTGGTCATGCTAAAGCAGCTTTGTTAAATCAGTATTATGCAGAAGCATTTCAAGGGCAACTTATTATGAGATTTGATGATACAAATCCTGCAAAAGAAAATGTAGAATTTGAAAAAGCTATTCTGGAAGATTTAAAGTTACTTCAAATCAAACCAGATATGTTTACACATTCTTCAGATTATTTTGATTTAATGTTGGAGTATTGTACTAAGTTGATAAAAGAGGGTAAAGCATATGTAGATAATACACCAGCTAATATAATGAAAGAACAACGAGATCAGAAGGTGATGTCAACAAATAGAAATAATTGTAAGTATGAAACATCAAAAGTGTGAATGAAAATAATTATATACTATAAAAAGGATACTTTAAAATTTTATTTTTATTCATTTTTCTAGCTATTGAAAACAATCTTAACTTATGGAATGAAATGCAACAGGGTACTACTAAAGGTCAGGAATGTTGTGTTAGAGCAAAAATTGACTATCAGTCAGCAAATGGATGTTTGCGGGATCCAACGATTTATAGATGCAAACCAGAGCCGCATCCTCGAACTGGAACAAAATACAAGTATATATTTATAAAAATATTTAAAAGGATTAATAGATACTACATTTTTTTATATTTAGTATGACATACACCATTTTTTTATTAGGGTCTATCCAACATACGACTTTGCTTGTCCTATTGTTGATGCTATTGAAAACGTTACACATACTTTACGTACAACAGAATATCACGATAGAGACGTTCAATTTCATTGGATAATTGATGCGCTAGGGTTAAGACGTCCTTATATATGGGAATATTCACGTTTGAATATGACTAATACAGTTTTATCTAAAAGAAAATTAACTTGGTTTGTTGATCAAGGATTGGTTGATGGCTGGGATGATCCACGTTTTCCAACAGTAAGAGGTATTTTGAGAAGAGGAATGACAGTTGAAGGATTAAAGCAATTTATCATTGCTCAAGGTAGTTCAAGATCTGTCGTTTTTATGGAGTGGGATAAAATATGGGCATTTAACAAAAAAGTCGTTGATCCCATTGCCACTAGGTATATTTAATATAAGCAATTTTTTTTATAAAAAAAGAATTATATAAGTTTCTTGTATAACATTACATTTTTAGGTATATTGCTTTGGATTATGATAAAATTGTACCCGTACATATAAATGATGTAAAAGAGGAATGGTTAACTGTCCAAAATCACCCAAAAGATCCATCAAAAGGCACAAAACAAGTATTAGTAGGTTCACAACTTTACATAGAAAGAGATGATGCAGACATGCTAATTGAAGACCAAAATGCAACTTTCATTAATTGGGGCAATATATTGATAAAAAAGATTGAAAAAGAAAATGGTGTTATTGCACGAGTAATAGCGCAATTAAATTTAGAGAACAAAGATTACAAAAATACATTAAAGATTACATGGTTAGCAATACCTTCTGATAAAAATGATAATAATGGTAAAGCTAATTTAATTCCATGTTATACTGTTTATTTTAATCACATTATAAGTAAACCAGTATTAGGAAAAGACGACGACTACAAAGATTTTATTGCAAGAGATACTAGAGTAAGTTTTTACTTTTTTAATGATCATAAATTTAAAAAGCAAAGCAAAACAAAAATAAGTGTAGTAAATATTACAGGTCGAGGTACAAATGCTTGGGGAAGTAGAATTGAAACGCGTGAAAAAGGGAGAAATAATTCAATTACAAAGGAAAGGATTTTTCCGATGTGATGTGCCTTATGCTCTCGCTAGTCCGTTTTCTTCTAGAGAACAACCTTTAATCCTGTTCCATATACCAGATGGCCATACTACAAATGCAGTAAAATCTGCACCTAATAGTACTGCTACATCAATTTCTGCTAAGGAAGTTTGTAAGAAAAATGTATGTACCATTTTGTGTGTATAAACATAAAGTCATAATATACATGTTGTTCGAGTTCCTTTAAATCCTTTTTGTTGTCATTGTAGGGCACAGCGCAAGATCCAAACTTAATGAATGAAAAAATTATTGCACAAGGTGATAAAGTGCGTTCTTTAAAATCGCAAAAGGCAGATAAAGCTACAATTGATGTAGAAGTAAAGACCCTTCTAGCTTTAAAAACTGAATATAAAGCAAGTACTGGAGTAGAATGGAAACCATCTACTACTTCAATATCTAATGTAAAAAATAAAGATAATAACCAAGGTGATCAAATTTCAGAAAGTATAAAGAAACAAGGAGATAAAGTGAGACAATTAAAAAGTTTGAAAGTAGAGAAAAGTGTTATTGATGAAGAAGTGAAATTACTTCTGACCTTAAAGGCTGATTACAAAGCTGTAACTGGGAAAGAATGGACTACTTCAGTAACTAATGTAACAAATAAAGTTGATCCTCAAGTTGATCAAATTTTAGAAAGTATACAGAAACAAGGAGATAAAGTGAGACAATTAAAAGAAATTAAAGCTGAAAAAAGTATTATTGATCAAGAAGTGAAAATTCTTTTAGATTTAAAAAGTAATTATAAGACATTAACTGGTCAAGAATGGAAGTCGATAAAAGTCGACATAAAGAAAAAGAAAGAAGAAACATTTGAAATTAAAAAACAGAAAAATACATCAAATAAAGAAGTAAATAAAAATGATGGTCCAAAGGATGTAAATGCTAGTAAAACTGGAACAAGATTGGGACTAGAGGTAAAAAAGGAAGAAAATTTCTTTGAATGGTATTCTCAAATTATTACTAAGAGTGGTATGATTGAATATTACGACGTATCGGGTTGTTACATTCTCCGTCCGTGGAGTTTCGCTATTTGGAAAATAATAAAAGAATATATTGACAATGAAATAACAAAGCTGGGCGTTCAAGAATGTTACTTTCCGATTTTTGTTACACGATCAGTATTGGAAAAAGAAAAAGCACATATAACAGATTTTGCGCCTGAAGTTGCATGGGTGACAAAATGCGGAGAATCAGATTTAGCAGAGCCAATTGCTATACGACCTACATCAGAAACTGTAATGTATCCTGCTTATGCCAAATGGCTAAAATCTGATACTGAGCTTCCTTTAAAACTTAATCAATGGAATAACGTAGTAAGATGGGAATTTAAAGACCCTAAACCTTTTTTGCGTACAAGAGAATTTTTATGGCAAGAAGGTCATACCGCTTTTGCTACTAAAGCTGAAGCTGATGAAGAAGTTATGATAATCTTAGATATGTATGCTAGAGTATATGAAGAATTATTAGCAGTACCTGTTATTAAAGGCCGTAAAACTGAAAAAGAAAAATTTGCTGGTGGTGATTATACTACCACAGTTGAAGCTTTTATTTCAACAAGTGGCCGCGCGATACAAGGCGCAACTAGTCATCATCTTGGACAAAACTTCTCTAAAATGTTTAATATTCAAGTAGAGGGTGCCGTAGAAGGAGATGAAAAAACATTTATCTATCAAAATTCATGGGGCTTAACGACTCGAACAATTGGAGTTATGATTATGGTTTGTCTATTTTATTTTAGTATAAAAATATTTTTAAACACAATAACTTCGTACTTTCTTTGCAGGTTCATGGAGATGATAAAGGTTTAGTATTACCGCCAAATGTAGCTTGTATTCAAGCTGTCATAATACCTTGTGGTATTGCAGCAAATACAACATCTGAACAGAGAGATTTGTTGTTTTCTGAATGTAACAAATTGTTAAATGAATTATCAGAGGATAAAACACTTAGAGTTAAAGCAGATTATCGCAGTAATCGTACTCCAGGCTGGAAATTTAACCATTGGGAATTGAAGGGTGTACCTATAAGAATCGAATTAGGTCCAAAAGACTTAAAACAAGATCAGGTCACTTTTGTACGGAGAGATAATTATGAAAGAGTGGTTGCAAAGAGACCTGAAGTGGTTACTTCTTTACGTACATTATTGATCGACATACAAACAAACATGCTGGCCAAGTAAGAAGTAGTAGATGAAAAGCTTTATTGATAATACAATGCAATAACTTTTTTTCTTTTTAAATAGAGCCAGAGAGAACTTAAATGGGCATATTAAACATGCAGATAATTGGGATGCGTTTTGTTCTCATCTTAATCAAAAGAACCTATTATTATCACCATTTTGTGGAGAATCACCGTGTGAAGATAATATTAAAGCTGATAGTGCTCGGTAAATATTAAAATAAATTTTCGTCAATGATTGATACTTTCCTGTATAAAGTAAACGAATTTTTTTATTTTTATAGAGAGGATACAGGAGAGGAACTTGGAACATTATCAATGGGTGCAAAAAGTCTTTGCATACCATTTGAACAGCCACCCTCACCAATACCTCTTGATGAACAAAAATGCATTCATCCTAATTGTCAGAATAAACCGAAATTTTATACACTTTTTGGTCGTAGCTACTAAAATGTTTCTACATGAAAAATGTGAGACAATTAATACAATAAAAATTACTTCAAAGAATATGTTTCCAATACATAATTTTAAAGTAATATTTAAAAATATAAAAAATGATATTCAT